ACTTGAGGTAAATGTTTAACTCACTTGCCTGTACTTTGTTTGGCTGGAAGCCACAGGTGTGGGTTCAATTCCAGACCTGAAGGGCAGCTAGGGGCCATAGTCTCAGTGGTTTCACCAGGCCTACTCTTGCCTACTCTTGACTTCAGTTCTGAAGATTTTGCATTAATTTCTCATAGGACTGTATTTTTTAAGTCAGTGTTTTATTAAGATTTAAAATCTTTTGATGCAGTAATTCTGTCTCCAGCAATTTACCCTATTTCAGTGTTTTGAATGTGGGGGCAGAAGGGCTCATAAATTTCTTTCATAGAAGCATATGATTTTGTAAGTACCCATAGGAATTTTGGGTGGGGGAGTTATTTGGTTTAATATTTGCATGAAGTACAAGAGAAATAATTTCAAGTATAAACTATTTTCTTTCGATTAGTATATTATTAAACAGTGTATTATTATAAATTTCATTTAACAATATTGGTAATCTATAAAGACAAACTTTTTCCAGCTAATAAGTGATGTTCAGTGTTTATTTTAATTTTGTAATAAAACATAATTTGTCTGCAAATTCCAAATGGCATGTGACTTAGGTAATAAATATGTAGATTAAAATTTAACTTTGAATTTGTGTATCAGAGAAAAGAAAAGGGCAGAGGATTGCTTTCCTGACCTTGTAATTGAAAAACCTGTAGTTTGCATTTTTGAAAAATCGAATTGTTTATTTTTTTCATAATGCTCAAGCTTTGTTTCCAAATAAAAAGCTAAGTGAGAATGTTTCAGACTATGTATAAACACTTAAGAACAAATTACTTCCCCCCAGAAAAACAAAACAAAATCAGATAGTATTATTACTTTCTTTTTTTTAACCCTGGCATTTCAAATACTAGAAACATTTTTTACATGATGTATATGTGTGTATGTGTGTGTGTTTGTATGCATTTCAATTAGGATAATGAAATCTGTAAATGTGATTGATTATCTTGAGATAAAAATCACCATTTTTGTCCTCTATTAGCTTGATATATTGCACTGTTCTTTGTGCATTTGGTCTGTGACCAGTATTCCATTTTGAGTGCAAATTAAACTATATATGACTAAGGATGGAAAAACAAACAAACAAACATTTAAACCCTGTGGTGAGAACCATCAGGGTGACTGACTGGTATTGATCTGAATAATAAATGCTTTAAGTGGCTGAGTCATGAACCAATTTATTTTCTTGTTTAGAAACTCACTTGGAAGCCCTCAGATTGGCCTATTTAAAGAAAATACCCATGAGAGAGAGAGAGAGTGTGTGTGTGTATTTTTTAAATACGAAATTGAAGCAGGAACTGTGTTGCCTTTTACAACATGATGCCCTGGAACAACTCAGGCATAAAAAATGCTGCCATATAGATGTATTTCAAAGAGATAAATATGAGGATGTTTATTGTCATTATATAATAATCATAAATAAAAGGGGATAGGGCACAAAGAAAGAGACAACAAACTAAATATCCAATAGAGGACTAGTAAATAATGGTGAAGTGGAGGAAATACAGAAGCAAACTATAGGTGTAGGTGCCAGTGTGGAAAGCAGCTTACAGAACAGTAATATAAAACTGGTGTCATATAAAATAAATTATATGTGCACGTGGGAACTGTCTAGATGCTACACTGTTAACAATGGTTTCTTTTGGGATGGAGATGGAGGACTGAAATGGACAAGAATTGGATGATAGGAGATTTATTTGTTTTTTTTTTTAGGAGATTTATTTTTATATTATACACTTCGAAATTGTGGCAGTAGTGATAATTGTTTTTAACCATGAATATGATTAAATTGTTTTAAAATCACCACAATAAAAAAGACCACTAAGCTCAAACGTCGCCCCTTTTGGAAGCACTAATTAAGTTCTTTCTTTAACAATTTCTGATTATATTATAATAGTACTCCTCATACAAAGAACTGTAGTGCAAACAGTTAAGCATTCAGCTCCTAACTGAAAGATTAGCAGTTTGAACCCACCCAGCAGCTCCATGGAAGAAAGACTTGGCAATCTCCTTCTTTAAAGACTTCGTTGTTGTTATGTGCCCTCGAGTCGGACTTGATTCATAGCGACCCCTCCTTGGGTTTCCAAGGCAACATCACTGAGGATGGGGCGGTTCTGTTCTGTCACATAGGTCACTATGAATGAAAATCAACTTGACAACCCCTAGCAACAACAAACTCATATTATGTTGTAATAATTAATATTCCATGAGCTCCATAATGTCAGGCAGTATGTGTTGTTACCTATTTCCAGGGCTTAACCAGTATCTCCCATAAAAATACCAACCAAACTCGCTGCCATTAAGTCAGTTCTGACTCATAGTGACCCGCTTTGGGTTTCCGAGGCAGTAAATCTTTATGGAATTGAATTGCCCAGTCTTCCTTCTGGGGAGTGGCTGGTGGGTTTGAACTACCAACCTTCTGGTTAGCAGTCAAATGCCATAGGCACTTGCCACCAGTGCTCCCATAGGAGATACTTAATAAATATTTGAATGACGAAAGAAGGTAGAGGTAAAATACGATATGAATAACTTAGCTAATATTTATCAGCAGTTAAAAATGTCATTTCTCAAGCAGTTAACTTTAACCAGACTAACTCTATTTATTTTCCCTTTTCCAACTTCTCATTGAATTGGAATCTTAGGACTACTTTATGTGATTTATATTCCTTAATACATCAGATTACAGAATTATGACTCTATCAAAATTATATTGAGCTTTTTTTAAACAAAATTTTATTGTGATTTGGGTGTAAGTTTATAGTGCAAATTAGTTTTCTCTTCAACAGTTCGTATATATTTTGTTTCATGACATTGATTGCAATCCTCATAAGGTAACAACATTGTTCCCAATTCCTGGTTGGGTTCCTGCCTTCTGAGTGTTATCCCTGGGCAAATGCTGTCCTTTTGATATCCTTTGGTTGATTGTTCTAAGGGGTATGTGCCTCTCTGGTGTTGTTGTTTACCTTATGGGCCTGTTTTTTGTCTGAAAGTTGAGCCAGTGGGATGAGTTCAGTTCCAGGCTTAAAGTGTGACTAAGGGCCATAGTTTAGGGGTTCCACTAGTTTCTATCAGACCAGTAAGCCCGGTCTTCTTTATGATTTTGAATTTTTTCCCACATTTTTTGCCCACTCTATTCAGGACCTTCTATTGTGATCCCTTTCAGGATCCTAAGTAGCAGTAGCTGGGCACCATCTAGTTCTGCTGCCCCAGGGTTGTGGAAGCTGAGTTTCACGTAGTCCATTAGTCCTTTGGACTAATTGTTCACATGCATCTTTGATTTTCTTCACTCTTCTTTGCTTTGTACGAGGGTAGTATTGAACTATCTTCTGAATGGCCAGCTCTGCGTAAGTCACTACAGCATTGGCTTAACAAGAAATCCAGCAGTTTGGGTTTCTATATGGAGAACAATTCATTCTAAACCTTCTTGCCTTTGTCTTTTCGTTAGGATTCTGATAACCCTGATCTTCGAGACCGGGGCTATATTTACTGGCGCCTTCTCTCAACGGACCCTGTCACAGCCAAAGAAGTAGTCTTATCTGAGAAGCCACTGATATCTGAGGAAACAGACCTTATTGAGCCAACTCTGCTGGACGAACTAATCTGCCACATTGGTTCTTTGGCCTCTGTGTACCATAAGCCTCCCAATGCTTTTGTAGAAGGAAGTCATGGAATTCATCGCAAACACTTGCCAATTCATCATGGAAGGTGAGCAGCAGAACTAAGTTTGAGTAAGTGATTCCTTGTTTAGACAGAGTTGGTCTTCCTTATGCTTTTATAGCCTGAAGAAGAACTTGCTGTGCATTCTGCAAAGTACTAATATACTGCCTTGAGGCCTCCCTCTGAAACCACTGCCCACACATCCAATGGGTGGAAGGCCCATCTGTGTGTCAGTATGAGAGGAGATAAGATTATGGCTTTAGAAAATTCTTGTGGAGACCACTTTCTGAATCGATAAAGTGTGAAAGTTGGTTAAGTTTCCAGTAACATGAAGTTAGAAATATTCCTGGAGTTGAAAACTCAGAAAAAGAGCCTATATATGTAGATTTATTTATCTTTATCCTGTAACTTTGGTTGAAGCTTATGTAAAGTTAGCAGATATTCATAATTTAATAACGTTGATAATGAAATAATATTTGCAGGAATATTTTGTCAAACCAACTTAGATTCCATGTAGACATAGTTCTTCAGTTGCCTATACCTTTTTTCCAGATTAAAATGATCATATTAGAAAGGAAATTCTGTTACAAACAGACTCTCAGGTAACATGAAACTCTTGCTTTATAGCTATCGTAAAATTTTAATTAGGGAGGAACAGTACTCTAATAAACTCCTTTAATGAATATCTTGAATCTTTGTATAATCTCCTTCCTTCATTGATCATAATAATCCTTAAATCTAAGTAGAAATTGATCCCAGAGAGGCTAAAGTAATTAGGCCTCCATTAATGGGTGTCTTGTCCCATTATCTAATTTAAATTGCTGTTTAAGTGGTTTAAGAGTGACCAGCGCATAGGATTTATTGCTTTACAAATTAGTGTAGTCAGCATTTTGGACTTTATATAAAACATACTCTGGAAGATCAGCATACTCTAGGAAGATAAAAAGGAAAGGGCAACACCAAGAAAATGATAGTAAATCTTTCATTAGCCTTTAATTTTGTTGAATCTGGTTTTAGGGCAAGTGTTACGATTTTTAACGCAGAGGAGACAATGTCTGGCTTCATAAGGATAAGGCCTTGTAATAATGTAGAACGTTCCTCTGTGTAGGCAAGCAGATTTAATACTACTGAATACACCTCCAGGAGCTCTGGTAGCGTAGTGCCTAAGGCACTTGACTGCTAACCAGAAGGCTGGCAGTTCAAACCCACCAGCCATTCCTTGGAAGGAAAGTTGGGCAATCTCCTTCCGTAGTGATACTGCCTTGGAAACCCAAGGAGGGGTCGCTATGAGTTGGGTCCAACTCGATGGCACATAACAACAACAAATAACTCCTCCTGGTCTGTGCTTCAAGTTTTGTTACAGATGGATTTTCTGTTGTAGTCTGTCTCTGCAGTCATATTTATGTGCCACTTAATCTAGCTTTCTCTTCTTTTGGCCCTCAAATGGAAGGGGGAAAATGAAATAAAGCAAGAAATAAAACTATCTATCCCTAGAACTCAAGGAAAGAGAACCAGTATTTAAACTTCTAAAAAAGGAAATATAACTCATTTTATAAGATCTTTATCTGATTAATAGCCTTTAATTTGTTGTTACCGTCACAATTCCTTATGTGGTTCCTTTTTAGATAATCTCCTTTTTGTCCTTTTGTGCTTGTCTTTTATGTTTGTCTTTAAAGCAACACAAATGCAGAGAAATCCCCTTTGATATAAATGGGGATGATACATTGCTGCGAACAATGTGGCCCTAATAGTACTGACGTTACCTACCTGTCTTCTACAGCATCAGGGTAGTAAGTGCTGTGCCTCTGACGTGACTAAAAACAGTGTTTTAAAATCTTATTCTGCCTCTTCTAGAGGTTTAAAAGATCTCACTAGATCTTTTTAAATCAGTTGGAAAAGAGAAAAGTCCTTTTTGCTTGAGTATTGTTTACTGTGCATATACTAGTCAACTGCTCTATGGGAGTGAGGTAGAAAATAATTGTCTAATTTAGAAAAAGGAGCTCTGGTAGCTTAGTGCCTAAGGCACTTGACTGCTAACCAGAAGGCTGTCGATTCAAACCCACCAGCCACTCCTCGGAAGGAAGGTTGGGCAGTCTACTTCTGTAGTGATATGGCCTCGGAAACCCAAGGAGGGGTCGCTATGAGTCGGGTCCGACTTGACGGCACGTAACAACAACAGCAACAACAATTTAGGAAAATCTCATGTTTTAAAAACAATGTTTAAATGACAGTATATTGTTCATATATACTTGAGTTCATAATGGGAAAGGCTTCCATATTAATTTTCTTATATATTCTATATATATTCCATTTAGAAAGAATACATGCTAATGATTTATTGGGTTCTTAACTTTTAGAACCTACAGGATCATTTACATCTTTTTATCTGTCTCACTTTATTTTCTCATATTTCTCTTTCATTATAGTGAAAGAAAATATGTGCATTTTAACCTATTTTGCCTTCTACTTAGAGGTATTAATAAATTCATGTGTTCTGTCACATTTCTTAAATGCTACATGCCAGAAGATAATGGAATTTCATGGGTGGAAAATACCCTTTATGGAGATTTCATGTATTTCTTGCCAGGTGTATATGAAATCACTTCCCCTTTTAATTTCTTTCTTTATATTTGGCACCCGATCTAGATACTTCTCATCTTGGCATCCTTAATGCTTTTTCCTTCTAAGTCATTTTTCTTGCCTAAGATTGTTTTTGTGTCTTGTATCTTTGTAGTTCCATGTTCATTCCCCTCTTGATCATTAATCGTTGTTGTACCACAGGACTCAGTCTGAATCTTCTATTTCTGTCCTTTTCTATAAATTCCCTCAAGGAACGTATCTACTAACCATAGCTACCACTGATACATTACAGGGCTTTGCAATTTATACCATGTTCTCATTTGATCTTCACTGTAACATCATCTGATGTTTTGGTGATATTGCTGTCATTTTATTGATAGAAAATGTTGTTTCAGAGAAGTTGTCACCAGTCTGTAACTAGTAATTGGAGCCAACACTTGATCTCATTCTTCTGTTTCTAGATCCTCTCCCCTTACCACTACCTCACTCCTCTCCCTTGTTGCGCTGGTGATTTTAACTGAGATGTGTATATGAATTTCTTCCTAAGTCTCCTTCTCTTTCTCTGGCTAATGTTAGCTGTCTGTTGGACTTCTCTCTTTTTCTCACTCAAAACTTTACAAATTGAGAACTGAGCATCTTATTTTTCCTGTCATCCTTCCAGACACTCCTGTGATCATTAGCAGCATCACTATTCGTCTGTTTCTTAATTTTTCTATGCTTTCCTCTATGTTCAAGTATTACAGAAACCGACCTAGGTTTTTTTGTTTTGTTTTGTTTTGTTTTTAGGAAAACAGTCATTTATTAGTTGAATTTTTGGCCACGCACTTGTTACTTTTTATTATGTAAATCTTAAAAACCCTGGAAGATAGAATGGTATAACAAACTCACGTGTGTCTATACTCCACCAATTATCAGAATTTTGCCAATTATGTTTTATTTGTCATAGGAGTCTGGAGTATTTTAAATCAAATCCCAGATATCATATCATTTTACCGTAAGTACTTTACTTGATACCTCTCTAACAGATAAGGACCTTAAAAAAAAAAAAAAAAAAAAGATATATTAAGTCTAACAAAATTGGAAAAAAATTCCTTAATATCATTTAATAAAGCAGTCTGAAAACCTCCAGATTTTCTCAATTGCCATTCTGTGTTCTCTTTTAGAGCTTATGTAAGATGTTGTTACTTTTTCCTTAGATGTATAGAAGAATTTAGTAAAGCCATCTGGGCTGCAAGGAAAAAATATATATATTTAAACTTTTTTATTGATGTACAATTTATGGTAATCTAGCATTAATCTTTAGTGTCTACCTTGATGGGAGCTCTGGTAGCTTAGTGCCTAAGGCACTTGACTGCTAACCAGAAGGCTTTCGATTCAAACCCACCAGCCACTCCTCGGAAGGAAGGTTGGGCAGTCTACTTTCGTAGAGATACCACTTTGGAAACCCAAAGAGGGGTCACTATGAATTGCAATCGACTCAACAGCAGTGAGTGAATCTTATCTTAATGAATTTTTACATATGTCTTTATTCATATAGCTACCACCCTGATCAATATGATTTTTTTTTTCCATCCTTAAAAGTCAAATCGTTAATTTTTATGCCTTTGCATAAACCTGTCCCTTCCTCTTTAGAAAGTTTCGCCCTGGTAGTTCTAATAGCTCTCCTTTTTCTCCTCAAAATCTAGTTACAACACCATTCTTCTCTGGAGCTTTTAGAATCAAGCCCACCTGGTTTTGTTTTGTTTCTCTGGTATATCTTTTCAGTATGCAGACACTCCCATAATACCTTTTGTGTGATAATATACAGTGTGAATGAGTTTTCAGTTGTTCTGTGAATGCTTCTTTTTTTTTTTTTTTAGTAATACTGTGTTTTTTGTGAAAATTTACACAGCAAGTTAGATTTCCATTTGACAATTTCCAAAAAAATTGATCAGTGACATTAGATACATTTGTCACATTGTATTGACATGCCTTGAATTGTGTTCTGGTTGTTCCGTTTCCAGTACTCTGGATTCCCTGTCCCCCCTTATCTTCTCATCTAATCTCTGGATTAAATGTTGACCTTTTGGGCTCATACAGATTTTTATGAATCCCATCTTTTTGGGATTCCCAGGTTTTCCCAGATTTTTAGCACACCCATCTAATGGGTAATATAATATCTTTTATTTTGTGTGACACCCAGCTTTTTCTGCTAAAAGGTGATCTCGGGATCATTTTGGTTCAGTTTAAAGAGTGTCTCAGGGTGATAGTCTCAGAGAGTCCTCTGGTCTCAGGTGGCCCAGTTAATCTGACCTTTTTTTTTTTTTTTTTTTTAATCTGACCTTTTTTGAGAATTGTTTTGTTCTGCATTTTTCTCCCATTCTGACCAGGATCACCTGTTGTGATCCCAGTCAAATCGGCCAGTGGTGGTAGCCAGGAACCATCTAGTTCTGGTGTCAAGGTAGCTGAGATCGTGGCTTATGTAGGCTTATTCTTTCTCTAAGATTTCTATTACCTTCTCATTCTTTTTCTCCTGATGAGTAGAGACTAATAATTGTATCTTAGACGGCCAATTGCAAGCTTTTAAGACACCAGCCACTAGTCACTTTGTCACCACAAAAACTCCTGGTTGCTCGGCAGGACTCCTTTTACTGCCAGATAATGGAGGCTAAGTCGAGGTGGGCGAAAACCACTTTTATTTCTTTGGCCAAAAGAAAGGAACATCCAGGGCTAATTGCCTTCCAAGACTGTTAAGGGATGGGGTTGAGGGAAGCTGTTTTTGTAGGGTTTACAAACAGGAAATCATACAAAGACATCATTACATTCTTAAACATGTTACACAGGCACAGTTACTGCTGATTACATCACACATACATACATGATCAGAAAATGGCAGCCACACTCCACCCAGAGGTAGAGAAGTTAATATGCAGAAGTCTCCTAATGAGCTAAAGTTAACTCCAAGTCACACAGACCAGCTTGAGTTGGCTGCTGGATGGCTGGTTATCAAAAGTGGATACTCTAACTCACAGCTGGAAGATCAGCCCAGATCAGGCTATATAAGGAAGTGGAGCATTTTAACCATTGTCTCAGCTTCACTAGGAAACAGAATATGAACTGTGTGATTATGTCAGTTGACTGAGTTGTCCCACGAGACTATGGTCCTAAGTGAATGCTGACTTTTTGTTAGTGTATTTCCTGTTTATTTTATATTTCTTCAGACTTCCCGTTACATTTTTCTCTCATAGAATAGATGCTCAATTAAAATTAACTGCCAAGAGCTCTGGTGGCGTAGTGCCTAAGGCATCTGACTGCTAACCAGAAGGGTGGCAGTTGAAGCCCACCAGCCACTCCTCGGAAGAAAGATTGGGAAATCTACTTCCGTAGTGATACGGCCTGGGAAACCCAAGGAAGGCTCGCTATGAGTTGGATTCAACTTGACAGCAGTGAGTTAGGCTACAATAGTATATGTTTATTTTCATTTTGTCAGTTGTACTTTGTATATCAACAAATGATTATAAAATCGGGACTTTTTTTTCCTCCTGTGTTTTATAGTTATATATTTCATTATATCCTAGATAATACTGACTTTTCTCTTTTGTCCTCTTTGTGTGTGTGTGACTGCAGCACTGATGCAGGTGATAGCCCTGTTGGCACCACCAGTGCAGCCAACCTGGAACAGCCTCAGGTTATACCCTCTCAAGGTGACCTTCTAGGGGACCTTTTAAATCTTGACCTTGGTCCTCCAGTCAATGTGCCACAGGTATCCTCCATGCAGATGGGAGCAGTGGATCTCTTGGGAGGAGGACTTGATAGTCTGGTAAGCATCTTTGTTCCCCCTTTCTTACAGTTATTTTAGTTCTTCGTATGTTAGAGAACTTTATTTATTCAGCTTTTTGGAACTAGGACTTTTGATGAGCAGGAGTGCCCTTTGATAAAGGACAGTATTATTTAGAGATTTAATTATAATGTTCATCATTGATATGGGAAATATCTACAAGCATTATTTTGCTGCAGGATTATTTTGTTGCCCTGCCTCTAAATAGAACTTTCTGTGTTTAAGTAACTTGTTGTTCAACAGTTTTAACATTTAGTGTCTTTTTCAGAGCTTATTAATTGCTCCTGCTTCTTAACTCTGGATAGCTCCTAGAAATTCCCATTTTGACCTGATCAGCATTAAAGTTGCCTTATAGAGGTCATTCTCTGTTGACGCTTTCAAGTCTTTGTGCTTTGGATGTTTTATTGGCTTATGCCTTGTGTAATTCCAAAAGGTTTTGAGGCAGCCATTTGAACCATTTGTATATAAAATGTACCTTTATTGCAACTGGGACAACTGCTTGATTGGTTCTTTTTTTTTTAGGTGGGGGGTCCACTTCTCCCTTGTCAGTCTAACTTCCAATTTAATTAGCTTCCAGGATTCTAATACTAAAAGGCTCCAGAGTCCGTAGTATTTGTGAATATATGCCACTAATGGGAACCATAGTATTTGTGCATATATGCCACTAATGAGAATGAGTAAACCCCCTTTGTTTTTGCTTTGGCTTTGTATATGGTTAAATCTATATTTACTCAGTGTCAAGATTATTTTTAATAGAACGTCACAATCCACCCACTGCCATCAAGTCAGTTCCCACTCATAGCAACCCTCATTGGGTTTCCAAGGCTGTAAATCTTTACGGAAGTAGATTTTGTTATTATGAAAGATAAATGAGAGTTTTTAAGGATAACCTTGGATTTGTGGAGAGAAGGTCAGAAAAGTAACCGGTCTCATCAATACATGGCTCCCTGAAAACTATGTACTTATTATAGTGGAATTAGACGTTCAGCTAGATAAGAAAATGTTTGTCAACCTGGTGACTATAAAGATACCTAACAAATTGATTCATTTCCCAACATCAGAAATTGGAAGGCAGATGCTCTGGATAAGAAAATTTATATTCTCAGCGATCACATAAACAAAACCACCTTCCTCTCTGCTACATCATTTCTTCTACTTTGTGAGCAGTGAGGTGTCCGGATTTCATGCCAGCTAGTGCAGGTGTATTTACTTCTTACCTGGCAGAGTCTGAGGAAATAGAACTAAAATCACATCTCTCTGGGTTGTGCATTTTACTCATTGAAAATCACTATTTCCAGACTAAGCTCTGGACTCCAGCTTATATAAGTGGACTCATTGAATCTAAAAATGCTAAAGAAATAAACCAGAGACATGGAGGAGAGAAAGAGATTCTACTCTTGTTTCTTGACCCACTATAGCATATAAAGAAAGAAACGTTATTCCCATTTGATTTTTAAATTAGTTCTTGCTGACCCCAAAATCTATTGAGTTTTGTCCTTATATTTTATATGGCTATCTAATCATCTATTAGAGATTCCTCAAGTATTACTTCAAATAGAAAACTTGCTGTTAAAACTTGTGTGAATTTTAGTAGCCAAAGTGGCACATGGACTTCTTTTCCTTTTGTTTTGTAGGCCTAGTGATGTTGCTCTGTAAACTTTGAAATTTTAGCTTTTCCTGACTTTGCAATTTAAGTTGGTATCCTTGGTCTTATAGCCCCAGAACTATTTACGGGCAGTTTTCTTCACCACATTCTGAGATATAAGTATATCTCAGAAATAAAAATGAGAATGAGTAAACCCCCTTTGTTTTTGCTTTGGCTTTGTATATGGTTAAATTTGTATTTACTCAGTGTCAAGATTCTTTTTAACAGAACGTCACAATCCACCCACTGCCATCAAGTCAATTCCCACTCATAGCAACCCTCATTGGGTTTCCAAGGCTGTAAATCTTTACGGAAGTAGATTGTCTCGTCCTCCTCCTGCAGAGCAGCTGATGGATTTAGCCAAGTTCAGAACATCTTGAGGATGACCTAAATCTAACTGTGTAGAAGATTTGTTTTTAAGGCTGCAGTGGACTTTGTTGTTTGTACTATGCTTTTATTGTTCTTGTGCAAATTATTTAATGAGGAAATTTTCAGTTGTCACTTTAATCTGTGTGACATTTCTTTAATGAAGCCTTACTTACCTTAGAGCAGTACTTCTCAAACAGAAGTGTATGTGAGTCTCCTAGAGATCTTATACAAGAAATTCTGATTTAGTTGATGTGATAGGTAGTGGAAGTCTGCATTTCTAACAGGCTGCTGGCCTATGGACTACACTTTGCATAGTAAGGGTATAGGGTATCTGTGACCACTCAGAACTGTTTTTCATTTTCATGTTTGCACTATTAGCTTCTGGTAAACCCAGATGCCTCTTTTTTTTTTTTTTTAAGTAGTAAATTCTCTCCTGGAAAGAGAACTACTGTCAGCCCCGAATTGAAGGGCAAGAAGAAACTCTTGAAATCTGTTCTGGTTATCTACTACCGCTCTGACAAGAATATACCACAAATGGGATGGGTTAAAGAAACAGGAGCTTATTCTCTTACAGTTTGAAGGCTTTAAGTCTGAGTTCAAGTGCCAGGCTTTAGGGGCTGGGTGAAAGCCCCTCAACTTTGGGCTTCAGCTCTGCCTCCTGTTCCTGGCCCACTGAAGCTGGAGGCTTTTCTTCAGTCAGCTGCTGGCTGCTGAGGCTGACAAGCCCAAGGTTTACAAGTAAAAGGGCACAGTCCCGATATTACCAAACCACACAGCAGGCCATTAATTCAAGTCTATTGAAAGTCCCAAAGTCGACAGAGCATGGAAGGCTGCTGAGCAATGACATAGCTACATGCAGGGTTCAAGTGTGCCATAAGTTAGAGACTGTTCCCCAAGGCTTCTCCTTATATACAGGAAGCAAACCACATCCTTAAGGCAGCTACTCAGCTTCTCACACTAGATTCCACCATGGAGTTGATTACCAGTCTCATCATGGGGAATACTGCATCCAGCTGCCCAGCCACTCAGCCAGGTCCAGCCAAGTTGATACACAAACTTAACTACCACAAAATTATTTTTTCTTTTCTTTTTTTCTAAAAAAGAAAAAAAGATCTTCTACTTTCCATGAAGAATAATGTTGCTAGGAGTGGTAGAATTTGACCCAGACCTCTCTTTAAAACATGCTCAGACTGATACATTCTGACTAATGTTTAGATGTAACATGAGATTTCCTTACTTATTACCCAAACCAAAAAACCAAACTCACTGCCATAGAGTTGATTCCGACTCATGACGACCCCGTAGGAGCTCTGGTAGCGTAGTGCCTGAGGCATTTGACTGCTAACCAGAAGGCTGGCGGTTCAAACCCACCAGCCACTCCTCGGAAGGAAGATGGGGCAATCTACTTCCGTAGTGATACTGCCTTGGAAACCCAAGGAGGGGTTGCTATGAGTCGGGTCTGACTTGACGGCACATAACAACAACAACAACTTGGCGACCCCAGGTTGCCCATCTGGTTGGCAGTCAAATGCCTTAGGGAGTATGCCACCAGAACTCCTTATAACAATGTAGGGCTTGTCCATTACTTAATGCAAAATAAAAAGCCAAATACTATCAAGGAAATGTTGTTCTTCCTGCTATGGATAAATAGATGGAAATAATATACAGAAAACAGTCCATGGGAATATGAAAGTGCATTACTTTCTTAGCACATGCAGCCAGTAGATACAAAGAAAGCACCTCTGAAGATGTGAAGAAACAAGTACTGAAACAAAATGGCTATCCTTTTAAAGATGAAAAGTCTTTGTATTTGTAATTACTGTAATTACTGATCATGTAATACACAATTTCAAATAAAAGAGTAAGTGTCATTCTTTCATTTTGGAAGACATTAAAAACAGTTGCAGAATAAAAAGCTAGCTCATCAACAGCAAAAAAAAAATGTTCAGGATTAGGATTCTGTGGTTGTCTGGCAGGCAGAATTAGGTTAACTCCAGTAATCATTGCAGAAGGGCCTCCAGACAGAAGTGCTGCTTTTATGTTGGGTTTCCAACAGCCTCACCCATAGAGGTCAGTGGTGTGCTGCTAACCAAGTAGCCACTGACCCTTTAATTTAGGCTGCATGATGAGTACCACTTTAAATCCAAAACCAAACCCTGTTGCACTTGAGTCAATTCTGACTCATAGTGACCCTAAAGGATAGAGTAGAACTGCCCCATAGGGTTTCCAAAGCTATAAATCTTTATGGAAGCAGACTGCTATATCTCTCTCCTTTAGAGTGACTGGTAGGTTCAAACTGCCAACCTTTTGATTAGCACCTGAGTGCTTAATGACTGTGCCATCAGGGCTCCTAGTACAACATTAGTACCATATTAAAAAATATTGTCAATGCTGGGGCCCAACCCTAGAACAGTTAAACAGAATATCTGGGAGGCCGGGCCTAGACATTGATCTTTTTAAAATGTTACCCGGGTTATTTTAATTTTTGCAGCCAGTGTTGAAAACACTGAGTCTAATACAATTCCAGATGGAACTAAATAGATATGTTAGGAATTGACCTCTAAGCCGGGACAGTGACTCCACAGAAGAATTATAGGCTTTCATTTTAGCCTAACATCCTTCTGGCGAATCTTTTTGGCATTGGCTTCTCTGACTTGACTTTTGATCTTCCCTCCCAGGGTATTTTTTCATTCTGATTTTTGTTAGGTGATCTAATTTATTGGAAATTGGCTGCAAGTTTAATTTGATCAATTTAGATTTAGTTGCTCTGTCCCACATTCTCTTTTTACCCTTACTTTTCCGTAAGTGGAGACTGCAAATTGGAGACATTTTGTATTTCAGATTGCTTACCTATTTTCCATTCCTCTGTTTGAAAACTTAGTATCAATTAGGAGATAGCTTGATTCTTCCCTTTCTTCCCTGGTGATCCTCCCATTAAATCTTGTTCTACTTCATCTTCTTTAATTAT